CTTTTTTTTATCCGAATTTTACAAACTTATAGAATTTAAATAAAAAAACGTTTGTCGAATTTGGCTTGGTAGTTGTCGAGATATCTTTTTTAAAATTTGAAAAAAAAGTTTAGTTTATACTCTATTGATTAATTTTGATCCATCAAGAACAGTATGCAAATTAATTTTTTTTTTTGCCCTATCAGGATCGGTACCGACGATCCATCAGGAATAGTAATTTTGCAAATATATCATCAAATTGTAATTCTTTCATATGTTAACGTTAAGAAGTAAATCGTCAATACGACATAGTTAAAGATAAATTTCATATTATACTGTAACTGTATAATAATAATAATATAAATAGGAATGCAAGCAATACCGTAAAAGAATAACTTAGAATGAAATATCGTAAGTCTATTAAATATTTGATATTACTCATTACAAAATAATTACGTTAAAAAGACCAATTTTAAATGACTTAATTATGATGCAATTTTAAATTGTGAGCCATCTAGATATTTTTCTAATATAAAAAGGACATACCTTAAACAAACCCATAATTAAACATTTCAACATTATGTCTGTCTTTCGTGACTTTCTTTCAAATGATCCTTATGATCCATTTTACGATCAAACTTCTGATTTGAATTATCCCTATACTACTACTTGGAACGATTGGAATAATTGGCCTATTAATACTACCGACCGTTGGAATGATCGCTGGGGAAATCGCGATCTTGGAATGACTGACAGGGGAGCACGACGCCGTGCACCTATTCAAGATCGCATACCGCGTCATGTTGAATCGCGTGTTATGACAGAAAAGGAAGGTGACGTTGTTTGGAGGGAAGTTTTTGTTTTATAATTTTTCTTATATATATTTATTTTTCGTTGATTAAATGATATTATATTCCAATTTATTTTTATACTTGTAGACCTGCTACCGACGTTTTTGAGACAAACGATTATTTTATCATTCATTGCGATTTGCCTGTAAGTGTCGTTTTATTTTTTATTTTTTATTTTAAAAAAAAAAGTCTTAACACTAATTTATTCAAATTTCATTTTTATTATTTCAGGGAGTTCCTAAGGAAGATATTTCAATCGATCTACGTGATCGTGAACTTATCGTCCAAGGCGAATCCAAGCGTGCTACCGCTTATGAAACTGCAACATCTCGTGTTCGCGAACGTAGCCTGGGTCGTTTTCGGAAACACATTTATTTGCCTCGAGATCTTTCCAGCGAAAAAATGGACATCGAAGCAAAATATGAGAATGGATTACTCGAAATAAAGGTTTATATACTCGAATATATTTTTTTTTTGTAGTAAAAAAAAATTTAACTTTCTTTCTTTTCCTATGTTTTTTAAGATTCCTCGCGGAAAACAAGGATCGACAGGTCGGATTTCTATTACATAATCAATTTTTATCATATATAAATCCATTCTTAGAGGATAGGTTTTTTGCTTGGTTTATTGCGATGATGCTTCTTTTCATTATATCTTTTTATGTATATACAATTTTTTTTCGTTGTTTTTTTTAAAAATTGCTACAAACCTTGTAATTAAACAATAATTTTGCGTTCAAATATAATTGATTTGTCATTGTCTTTTACAAATTGCTCACATATGTGCTAATTTTGTTTATTTAATTTATTTAATTTATACATTTTAAATTGATAATTGCGACTAATCCAGTTGTTAGTAAATGTGACGTGAAATGAACGATGTCAAAATACAAGCCACCGAAAAATACAAATTTTGAGGTGCATTTTTTTAGCATTTAATTATAGTTAGGGGTTAAGTAGAAAATCCATCATTTCATTTCAATCCGATTTCATTATGGTTGCGACAGTAAATATAGTATCTATCGATTTTAACCACATTTTGTTTGGTAAAAGATAGCATTATTTCGTACCGTAAATCCTCTTTACATATTAGTGACTACACGATATTTCATTTTAACATACATCATTTACTGAGGCAATTAACTAATCTCAATTTTAAGCAGAACCACCATAATCTGACCTTATTAAGAGCTCTAGAATGATGTTTTCTTGCCACATAATCCGGGGTAATTTGTTGATATATATAACGGATATTCACGGATTTCAAGGGTTGGACTAGGGCATAGCCCTTTCCGGCCCATGCAGATCCAGGATTATGCTACTAGAATAGTTTAAATTTTCTAGCATAATAATGCAAGCGGTAGAATTTAACATAGTTTATATGCGCTAGCATAAAATTTGTACCCGTGTTTATTCAAAAGTTACTAAGGGGTCTTTTTTAAGAGATCTCATGCTGATTTATACAAAATATGTATAATAATTATTATGATAATTTTTGTAACATCCAAGATTAATTAGTTCTTTTCTTGGGTGATACTTCCACGTCTGCAATCATGGCATTATCATTACCAATTTCCGAAGGAGCACTTGTGATATAAGTCAATATACTCTCAGAACTAGAAGTAACTAAATCCTAATATCCAAACATAAGTTAATTTAGCATTAGTACCACTGTACACACAATAGCTCGTGCCAAAACACTTACTCGCAACATCCACAAGTTTGAGGCGAAAATTGGCAACTCTTTGAAAATCAAGAATGTAATTGTTGGATAGGAGAACATCTTCTCAAGTTTGAAATAGTAAATTCCCGCGAATGGCATGCACATACTATATACGTAAAAGTTGTGATCTATAGAATTTATGAATAGAAAAAGATGAGTGTATACTATAATACATTTATCTATTCGGTTCATAGAACTTACCATATATTTGTACACCATACACTTTTATCCTCCTAAATTTTTCAAAATTACCTGGGTATTTGATAAATATATAATTCAAGATAATTTTAAGCATCTTTGCCGTTTTATTCCTATCCCCAACATAGTGAGTATGATCAAGACTTGATGGTGATCCCGAGACTTCTAAGGTTGAGAACTCTAAACCAAGATCCAAAATTGACATGATCGCATCGATTTTGTTTCCAGAACACCGTCGATTATCATCTTTTAGTGATTGGTTAAGTAAAATGGCAGAACAACGCAAGGTCTTTTCACCCCTGTTGAAACAAATCCGTATAACGACTATTGGGTATGGAAAAGTATTACCTAACATACCTAAACTATTTTAAACCTACCAATTACATTTAAATTGTGTCCTATCTCTGAATAACAAGATATAGACGCGAGAGACAAACCTAATAATATAGTCATATTCGGTTTGACCTTCGTTAAAGCAATTTCTGCCATCTGGGAACTGTTCTCGACTATCATAACACGAAAATTAAATGATTCAATGTTAGCATAAATCCCTGTCATTATCGCATCACATAATTTTTTCGCGGTGTTCTAATAAAATAACAAACATTAAAAGACAATAACAAATCAAACTCTGCTAACATTCACTTACTACATTATTAGATATTTTCATTAAATATTGCCTAATATCTTCTGCCCGCCCATCTTGTTCCACGTTTGATGACGCTGAGCCAGTATCTAAATCTAACAGCGTTGCATCTGGCCTAGACGTCAAAAACTTCTCTATAGTACTGGTGATACCTTCCCAATAATCTTTGAGGAGTTTTCGTGCATCTGTAACAGATGATTTAGTTGTGTCTATAATGTTGTAGCGCATTAAGCTGTAAAAATGAATTTATCAGCAAAGAAATAGTATCTAAGACATATAATCATATAACGGGAATAATAAAAACAATTATACATACTCTTGCTTATGAATCTCTTCGACATATCTTGACAATTTGCGAATACATACTTCGTTAATCATTAATTTATAGTCAACGATATTAGGGCCTTCTTGTAGAAGACCATCTTCTAACTCTTCTTCGGGAAGATGACTTCGTGACTCTTAGATAACTTCTTCATTATCGTTATTCACGTTTTCGTTGGGAAAAAAAATTCGTCTATTTTTGAGTCTATTGTTTTCATCTTCTTTATTCGTTCTTTATGCTCGTTCTAAAGATAAATGCAATATAGTTAGCTCTAGAGGTTGGAACCGGTTTTAAATATTCGAGTTTATCACATCAAAATTCGAGTTTATCACTCCAAAATTCGAGTTT